TAGGGCGTGACGGGTTGTGCTGTTTGGTCGCGACGGGGGGCTGGGCTATTTGGCCGTGACGAGTTGAGCTATTTGGTCGTGAGTTTTTTCTTGGGGTGTGTGGTAGAATTTCAATTTGGCGGCGAGTTTTTCTTTTGGGTGGCAAGTTTTTTTATGGGGTGGCAAGTTTTTCTACTATTAGATGGGTGAAGACTTCAACTTTATTTTGGGTTTTTTCTTTTTTCTTTTCTAGTTTTTCTATCTTCTTCGACCTTTTTCTATCTGATGCCTAGGCCTTTCTATCCCCTCCCTTGTTTTTCTATGCCGTCCTCTGATAGGAAAGCTTACTATTTACTTTACGTGACTCAGCATGGCGGCTGGTGATGTTCTTGATCCAAGCTCTGCTCTTTGCCTTCTTCTCCATCTGGTGGCGCTAGTCGGTTCGGAGTTGTCTTATGACTTCTCTGAGTCTCTTCTGAGTTTTGCGGATTTCCCTGGTGTTGAAACTGTTGCGCTGAAGATGTTGGTACTGTTGATAAGGATGCTGGGCCTCTTGCTTCTGCTCCTTGGTGTTTTCTACTACCGCTACTACGTCGCCAGCTGTGGGCTGTTGTTGAAGCTGAAGCTGGGTCTGATGCCGATGCTGGCTCTGGAGTTGTAGCTGAGATGGGTCCTGTGGAAGAAGAAGATCAGATGCTGAGAAGTGCGGCGTTGAAGATGTTGATGGAGGGGGGGGGGCCGTCATTTGTGTTTCCTTCTGCGATGTTCTTCCACCGCTCTCGTTCTAGGCAATGCAGTCATCCACCGCGGCAAATCTAGCCGCTAGCTTTTTGGATACCTTATCCTTCCATGGTGTTTGCTTCCCGCGGTCTTCCCTTTCTGTTAGCCCTAGCTGGCCTCCCGGCGTCTGTTGCCCCCAAGCAGCATCCTCCTCACCCAGCGCCCCTCTGGATGCCGCGCGAAGATATGGCCCAGGTAGGTACATCAGGCGTGCTGTCTGTAGTCTCTCCGCGAGCCTCCTCTGGTTTAGCTTCGTCAGGGTTTCCTTTGTTGCCCACCTATCCCTCTTCGCTATTCCCAAACACGGCCGCGGCTTCTTGTTCCAGAACGTGCCCAGCGCGTCTTTGTGCCTTTGCTTTGGTGCCCATTTTTCCGCCCCCCAGGCCAAAGCCGGGCAGACAAACGAGCGCAGAGCCTTCGCCGCCAGCTGCGGCCGAGCTCTGCTGCTGCAGGGTATGCGCCCCAGCTCCCCTATCTTCTTCTGGGCTTTGTTTATTCTCGTCTCTATGTCTTTCTCGTCGTCGGCTTCTTCTGTGATGACCGTGCGCAGGTACTCGAATTCCTTGGCCCTCTCGATCGTGCTGATCTCCTCTGGGAGGGCTTCTGGCTGCTCTTTGGCATTCACTATCAGGAACTTTGTCCCCCCCTCGTTTACTTGTCGACCAAATGCCGAAGGGGTCCGCTTTATGTCCCCCACTGCCTCGCCCAGCCCCCGCCAGTCCTCTGCGAAGCAGACTATGTCGTCGGCGTCTAGGAGCCTCCTGGGCTCGTCTCCATCTCCACCCGCGATGCTGTCACTTCTCGTGGCCCTCTGCTGCCCCAGTTGGGTTCCCCTTGTCTGCCTTGTGTGGAGGAGGACGCACCGCATGACCAGACTGAAGAGGTTGGGCGACAGGGGACAGCCTTGCTTGGTCTCTGTTGTTGTTCCTGTTGGCTTGCTCTTAGCGCCGTCCCGCTTCACCTGGAACGGCGTGTGTCCTCTGTATAGCGCCCAGATCTTTGCCTGGAATGTTTTCCCGTAGCAGACCTTCTCCCAAGCTTCCTGGAGGGGGGGGAGACTTACGGTGACCTCTTGGCGGATACAGGCTCTGGCGCTCCTTTGAGCCTATGGAAAGTCCGGGTGGCTCTCGTTGGGTCTCTTCTCACTGTTATTGGTGACCCTCCTCCGGAAGCGTGGCCTCTTCGTCCAGCTCCCAATGAATGAGGAGAGAGAGGAAACTCCTCGGGATGCCCTGCAGTACGACTCTGTTTGCGCCGCAGCCTTCCACACCGCCGAACTCCTCTCCTCTGGGGTTGGCGAGGACGGAGGCAGAGCACCGGAGCCAGGCGGCGTCCTCAGGTTAGTCCCCTTCTCGGGTCCCTCAACCTCCCAAGTCTCCAACCCTGCCTCCTCCTCCTCCTCCTCCTCCCAGGGAGCACGACAGCAGGAGCTTTCCTCCCTGGCGACCCTCGCTCTGGAGGCGAAGACCCTTGCGACCACTCTGGCATCCTCATCGGGGCAGACTGAGGCTCCGCCCTCCGCGGCCCAGTCAGCAGAGCGCTCTTCCAGCGCCGACGACGACCTGGCACGCGAGGCGAAGAGGCGCCGGCCCCTAGAAGAAGCTCCACTCTGGGACCTCACTTGGATGGCTAGCGATGACACCTTCGAGCCCTTGAAGAGGTTCTGCTTCGAGTGCTCGCGTGACGGCCTGAGGGACTCCCGTCAGTGCCTGGCGTGCTGGTCTCAGCGCAGGGCCACCCTCTCTTGCCCATTCTGCAAGAACCGCGCTGAGGCGCCTGCCTCTTGCGATGCCTGCAGACAGACTGTTGCGATGCATCGTGCCGAATTCTGGATGTCACTTGGGCAAGACTCTAGCACTCCTCCTTGCTGTGGCTCTGGTAACGAGCCTCCCTCACCCGAACTGGCGGAGGAACGTGCGCGACTCCACTCCCTCAACCCCCGAGCGAAGCCTTCTTGCTCGCCCCAAGCCCGTCTGGCTGAGCCCCTCCTCCCCTCCTCCTCCTCAACACCTGTTTTCGCTGATCAGGAGGACAACTTACTAGCCGGCACCCCTGTCGTTCAAGACAGTCCTCCCTGAGCGTCTTCTTCCCCGTGACTGAAGACAAGACTCTCGGGTGGCCTCTTCCCTCCTGACTTGCCACCTGCACCCCGCGAAGCTTTTGAGGAACCAAGCGGAGGTCTTGACATTGAGAAACGAAAAACCTTGGCTAAGTTTGAAGTAGAAGCGAAAAGTAAAAGAAAAAAAAGAAAAGTAGTTAGTGCGAAGCAAAGCCTGGCTTCTGGGCCGCTGGCCGTTGCGGGAGACTCCTGTCTCTCTCTCTCTCCCCACGTGTTCTTTTCTAGGAGCTCTGCGTGCTGTGGTCCTTCGATGGCCATCGTGAGTGGGCTCCTGCTCCCCTCGGTCTCACTTAAGTCGGTAGCGGGTAGCCCCTCTTCCAGCTCGTCTACCTAGGTAGGTCTGTGCAGGCTGAAGAAGAAAGTAAAAAAGTAGAGCTAAGAGGGTTGCTTGTAAAGAAGACTTCGAACAGAAGGCGCGCGCGAAAGGCCTGCGTCACTCGCAGCGCGTCTGCGTGTCTGTAACTGTCTCAGGGAGTAGTGGAGCAAGGGGGTAGAGCAAGTTCGGTCTCCTCTCTTTAGTGTAGTGTGGCTTGTCTTCTGTCTTCTCTCGGTGGCTTTTGTCCCTTTTCTAGCTTCTCCCGGTGGTGGCTCTTTCCCCCCCTCTTACTCCCGTTTCCCCTTGTAGCTTCTTTGGCTGTTCTTTTCTACGTCTCTAGGTGGCCCCTCTAGAGCCTTTCCCTTGTTGCTCCTTCTTCGCGGTGTTTCCTGCGCTCTCCTTCCTTCTCAGCTCCTTCCTTGTGGATTTTGGTGTTGTCGCGTGCCTGCCCGTCTCCGTGCGTGGGGGATCTGGCCCCTCGGGGTGTTGGCCTGCCTTGGTAGCGTCCGTGAAGTTGGCCTCCCTTCGTCATCTCACGGGAACGCCACTGCTCTAGGCAGTGCCGTCTTCCTTTCAGGCTGGTTGACAGGCTTCCCCTCCCCCTACCTTCCCCTCCTCTTCTTGTTGGCGAAAGAAAAAGGAAAAGAGAAAAAGTAGGCAACTCACCTTGTGCGCTCCTTTGCCCGGGTTCAGGGCGTGGATCCCTTACTCTTTGATTGTGTTGCGCCTCCGATGTGGCAGTGTCGCGAGGGGGGCCTCGGGCCTGTTGTTTTCGGTTCTCAACATAGTGGGCGAAGCACTACGCTCAGCCCAGACCTTTGCCTGCATTTCCTCAGGTAGGCCGTAGCACTTGGGCGCGCGCTGTATCAATGTGTGAGGCGCTTCCACTTTGTCGAAGGCCTGCGGGAGGTCAACAAACAACAAGAACGAAGAGCGGCCTCCCCGCTTTTCTCTCGTTCTGTGCTAATATCTTTAGCGCTAGCGTGTTGTCGGCAGCCCTCCTGTATCTCTTGCAGCTTTGGGCTTGCCTGCTCCTCCAGGGGAATGCTGTCTATTGCTCCCGACGTTTTGCTATGAGTCAGCCGCGTGCGTGCCTTTGCTAGCGCGTTGGGTAGCGATATAGGCCGCCACCCCTCTCCCATGCTCTGGCTTTTTCCATGCTTCGGGAGCACAGACAGTCACCAGCGGGGTGCGCCCGGTGGCTCTTTCTCATGCGGGCTGAGTGCCGCGCCTTCTCATCTCTTCCGTATTGCTCCCAGGAGCCAAGCCTCTGCTTGTTTGCTCCCTCCAACAGAAGGAGGCGCTCTACGGTGAGCTCGTCGGTGCCGCTTGCTGTCCTTAGCTTCAGCCCCCATCTAGTATGTATCTTCATCTAGTATCTTCATCTAATATCTTATCTCTTCTCCATCTAATATCTTCATCTTCTCAGTTATACACTCAGCACCAAAGCCAAACTGGCCTCTGCCGACGCCAAGTCCCGAAGCCCGTAACGTGCTTGCTACTAAGTGGTTGCCGACTTCGCCCCCTTCGGCATCAGAAACAACACAGGTAAGCGGCGACATGACATTCACCGCCAAGATATGAATCGAGTTTTTGAGTCTTTTTCTTGAGTGATGATGATATATCATGTCAACAGCTGCGAAAAAGAGTGATACCATACCCAGTTATGTCTGTCGATTTCCCAGCTTCTCATGAACCCCACAGGGACTACCGGACGTGCCTGTATCCAAGCAGGGAATGTCGGGCCGCGCCGCGGCCGTGAGTGTCCAAAGTTCTGCAGCACAACCAAAAAGACTAATGGAGATGCCAATGTCCACAGAAAATTCCCGGACGAAGGGGAGTACCTAATGAATCTGGTTACCATATGCCCTGCTATTCAGCTTCACTGAAAACCATCTTCACTATTGTCTACTCACATTCTAACTCGTGACATTCAGCGTTTTCTCTGAAGAACAGAACTTCACCAACTCCAACTAGGCTACGACAGTCATATATTATAATTATCGCTTCCAATGTCAGAATCTGCGGTTGGCCCGGATACCACCAATTCTGCGGCAACACAGGGACAAGATGGTGCTCCGCAAGCACATCAGAACGGTACTCAATGGATCTGACATTCACTATGCTCTTTTAATCAAATGCATTGAGTTATCATCTTTACAACTATTGTCTACTTACATTTTAATTCGTGCTGTTAAAAATCTTCTCTGAAGGACGAACAATAAATTTCTCCAATGAGTCGAAGCAATTTCGAAGATCACGCCAGCACCAAAAATCTCAATTTCAGGACGGAAGACGTGCGTATTGATGTGAGAAGCAAGACCATTATCAGTATTTGGTGGCGCCACGCTGGGAACCCGGGACCGCGAGAGGGAAAAGTGTGGCGCTGGGAGAGCGCGGCATGACACTAGAACATGGGGACACCAAGAACAATAAGAAAAATTAAAGGTTGAGTGTCGTGCTCAAGAATCAAAGAAGGAGAAAACCGCGTTTGAATGATTATAGTTTCCACTTACAACTTACTGCTGGAGAAACTTGATTTGGCTAGTACTTCCTTGGAGGTTTTTTTCGTAAATTCTTACTCTTTGAAGATGTACAAGCTGGAGACTTAACCCCTGGGGGCCCTAAAGTGCTGGCGGGTTGATGCTTTTAGTGCTGTGGCAGCGCAGTAGGCTGACTCGACAGCCGCGAGAATTAGCAGGCGCCGGCCGTTTCGCCACGGAGCGCGGCGGGAGTCCTTTACCCCCCCGGAGAGATTTGCGCGCCAGGTTGCCAACCTCCTGCGCGGTCTGGCAGGTGTTCGCGCGTCGGGATTGCACTAGGGAAGCCGGCCGCCACTCACTGGCTAGGGCACGCGTCGGCCGCAGTATGGGACGCTTCGGCTTGAGTGTGTGCCTGGCCCCCTGCAGTAGGCGGCGTTGTCGCCTCGCTGGGGGACGTCGTTGCTCTGAACCTCTGACCCGCGCCGTCGGCTATCTACTGGAATCCGGGCCCCCGCGCTGCCGTGCATGCCTCGGTTGGATTTGTCCCAGCGAGGGCGGACCGCTCGCAGCCCTTGCCCTTTCTGCGCTGGCACTTTCTTCCGGAGCAGGCCGCAACCAGGCTCCTGCGTCTTGGTGCAGGCTCGGGCTAGCGGTCGGGGACGACCCTTGTCCACCTAGAGGATGTTACCAGAACGCGCGCCGGCTTTTGCACAGTGATGCGCCAGGACTCCGCGCCGGCAAGCGCCTGCGCCAGTGGCGTGCTGGGGCGGTTGCTGAGCCTCGCCGCGCCGTCTGTCCGGCAAGGAGGGACCGACGAACTCCAGGGCTGGAGGCGATGGCGGGGGGCGGCGGGCGTTCATATAGGTCAGCCAGCCATAGTCGGGCGCTGTTGGACTGTTGAGCCGTCTACACTGCCGGCATTGTCTGACTGATCTCCTCCTCGCGCTTGTGGTCTGTCTCGTGTCATGTAGTCAGCTGGATTCTGTTCTGATTTGACGCACACGCGCCACGGCTTGGCGCTGTTGTCATGCCAGTGAGCGGCGTGCCACGTCTGCCGCTGTGCTGGCGACGGCCGCGGGCGTCCCGCTGCGTGCACTCTATGAAGCTGCAGCGGACCGGCTGGCGCGCTGTCTATCAGCGCTGCCATGTCTGAGGTACTGGCCCAAGGCGTGGCCGGGGGCAGCGAGTTGCGGAATAAAGTAGATTCTAAGAGACGTAGGAGCATAGGTGGCCTCGTCGGTCTTGCTTTGTTCTTTTGGTGCTACTCTATCGAGGATCATGAGCGCAGGCATGGAAATCAATGGCGTGGAGAATGTCTGCGCCTGGGATCGCAGATGGCTGCTTGGATGGTCTCACGAGAGGGCTAGGGAAAGCCTGCGAGCCCACACCCACACAGAAATCGCCTAAAGCCACTTCACCGCATGCCACCGCACTACCACGCCCCGCGCCTTTTGCCACATCACTCCGCAGCACTTTCGGCTGTGCCCTACTGCTAACCACCCAAGCGCGCGGTAGGCGACAATCAAGACAGACGCTCAAGCCCAACCGGGAGCACGTTACAACTGACCCACACCACACACCAAAGTCGAGACCAACTGCGCACGGTTAACCTGCAGCAAGCAAACAACGCCGTCCACCTTGCGCGCTGCCTCGAAGCTAATAAGAAAGTGAACAGGCCAAAAGGGAACGGAATAAGTGTAATGGAAAGCGAAGCGCTGGGTCTGGGCGCCCGCATAGGCAGGCGGGCCCTCGATTCCAGTCCCGGAGGCTACTCGGAGAAGGCTAAGAGACCACGTCTCTCGCCCCGCGTAAAAATGCACGCTCATCACTCACGAGTGAACTCCTTGCCCATCTTTGGCCCCCTCTGCTCAAAATGAGACCTGCAAGTCTGTGCTCATTTTTGCGCGGGCCATTCGGTTCTTCTTTTAGCGTGCGCTTTGCATGCGCTCCGCACTCCTATGGAGTAGAAGAGCAAACTGCAGAAGGCTGGGGGATGTTGATACCTGAAGGAGGCCTATACGCGGGCGCGCCCCTTTCCTGAGAGGCTTTCTGAGAACCGCGCGACCCTTGTTGGAGGTGTTTCGATTGCTTTGATGGTTAAAAATTCTAGAAAATTTAGGAAAAGTTTCGTTTTTTTTGGAGAAGTCGGCGGGATATGGGTTTTGCTGTTGTTTAGCAAGTGGGAAGCGCACGGAGCGGGAAGCGGCAGGGGAGTTGTTTTTGGTGGGGTGCTTATCTTTGTTGAGGAAATTGGGGGTAGATCTTGTTCGTCGTCTTGTTGTGTAAGGGGTTGCTTCGGGCGGCGCGAATGCCTCTCGCAAGGGTCGAGGTAGTCGGATGCAGTTTTTGTCTTTCGATTGTGTTTCATTTGTGTGAGAGAAGTCTGCTGTTGAGGGAGAGGTCGAAGGTAAGGATGGAAGTCAACAGCCAGGCGAAGCGCTTCGAACATGGCGAGAAATGGGGCGCGGAGCTGCTTGCCGACGCATCAGGGTCCGGCTGCGTTCGCAGCGCCTTCGCGTCTTCGGTTTGTTTCTTTTTTTGTGCTTGTATCGTTTTCATCGTCTTGCATATAGGAGAACTGCGATAGAAATCACGCTGGAGGCATCGGACCAGGATGAGCAAAGAGAAAGGGCTCCAGCAGAGCACTGGCGCCAAGTCAGATGCCCAAAAGTGGGGGGCTTAGAGACGTGCGCTCGGGGAAAGAACGTGTGAAGCCCGAGCACATCGACGCACCCGGAGCACCGTAGAACTTCAGGGAAAACATCAGCAGGAGCTGACAGTAGAGGACCTGCCTGGAATAGTCGAAGCTGTTCGAACTCCTTCGATCATGCAGGCCGCCGCCCTCGGTGGCTTTTTGGAGGCCTTGGGATATGATGAGAAAGTCTTGAAAGAGACTGCAGACAGGGACACTGAGGCCACGGCCACGGGCTTCACGATTCGCGCGGATCTAGCTGCGGGCAGGCTGTTGTCTATTCGGCAACGGTTTCGCGGTTTGAAGAAGCCAGCTCGCATGAGGTGGCTGGTACTCATCTCCGGCGTGGCTATGCATGTTCGAGCTGGTTGCCAAGTCAGACTTCGGGAAAGGCTTGCGACTCTATCCAAAGAATGCTCGGGTGTTATCATTCTTAGGCATGGTCTTAGCGTTGTCTACTGGTGTGCCGGTTCGGATTCTGCTCTTATTTCTTTACTCAAGTAATGGGCTTCGGGTCGGGTCTTCATTGTCGAAGCCTTTACGCTATGGCAAGGGGTTGACATTCTAGAGGGAGTAAGGCTCCTCCTTCTCTTTACAACGTGAGCCGGATTGCACTCCCGAGGGCTTTCGGATGCAGTCGGCGAGAGCTTCGCCCCCATTGCGTTGGCGTGGATTGTGGTGAAGGTTTCTGAGCCTTGTGGCAACTGGGTCGGGCGGCGTTTGCGATTGCGAAGTGGTCCGCATTGCGCAGGTTTTGGGAGGTGTTCTGAGCAAGAACCCGGAGGGCTTTCGGATTAGCTTGCAAGATGGGGCACAAGTGGCAAGGGACACACAGCACACCACGCGGCGGCTTGTGTTGTCACATTTCGAGAAGCTTCTGGCATAGTTAGACCCTGAGTGGAATTATCCAGGTGCCGACTAAATAGCCTTGCTTAGAAGTGTGCTCGTTAATTATGGTAGCCCGTGCACCATCGGAAGAATCTGCTGCGGAGGGTGATGGCGTTACGATTGGAGCGTGGTGGCTCTGACCGCGGTCATTTTTAGCACGACGCCCCCAACCTTTCGCACGCTCCTCGCTTGCGTCTTTTGCTTTTTTTCAACCTGCAGGGCAACGAACTGGCTCCGCCTGTCGGGAATCATGGCCGTGTGGGCTGCGATTAAAGGATGGGGAGACGCATGCTCAAGGGACGGACTCAAGTCAACACTCTCCGCGGCTGTGCTAGTGTAGTTGGGTGGACTTCTTAGCTGTCGACGCGAAGCAATGGAGGATGGGGCAGCCGATTGAGGTGCAGCCGATCGAGGTCCCGCAGGAGCTTGGATCTGAATAAGCGGGCTCGTCGCTTCATGGTCATCAGGCGGCTAACCTTGGGACAAGACTGAGCAGCAAAACACGTAGAGAGGCGCACCAACTGCCAAAAGCGCTCGCACTACACTAGTCACCAGCGCAAAGGTGGCAAGCTCATCAACCCCATCGCCTGGCTGGAGGCCGCGAAATGTGTAGCGCAGGGAAGGGCTTGAGCTGTGAACTGATTCCATTTTGGGCCGAAAAGTGTGGAACTGTCAGGCTGACTGAGTCGGAGTGCTCTCATGATCCCCTGACCCCTTGGTCTTCCTCCATGGTGTCACTTCAGGCTGTGAGAGCCTAGGAGCTTGATCGAGTGGCCATGATCTGAAGCAACCAAAGCGATCCTACTGAGTCAATGGCAATCAAGTGATCTGGTTCAATGGTATCGCCTCGCGCATCACTTCAACTTGAAGCGCCAGCGTTCGAATCCTTGAAGATGAAAGACTTGCAAACCCATGAATTCCGCACGAAATTGCATGCAGCGCAGATTGATAACCGAAGACCTCAAACCTTTGATGATGGTGCTCCATCATTACCATGAATCCGCTACCAAACACACAGTGAGTGCTAGGTAGTCCGTTTACACTGACAAGGGCCCCATAGGGGCACTAGCTTGAAAAGCTTTGCGACCAGAGTGCCGATAGAATCGCGCCCCATCAGTCTACCTAGCTCCTTGTAGCATCCTAAAAGTTTGCAACTTCTCAAAACTTGCATTCTCTCAAGACCTAGACGCTCACCATTGCGCCTAGTTCCTCCCAGCGTCTAGTGCTAGTAACAAAATGGGCGCCGCCATCAATGACTTAACGGCCCCCGTGTTGCGGCTGTTGGCGATGCTACAGCTGGGGGCGGCAGCAGCAGGTCAACGCGATGAGCTACTTGGTGCGATTCAAGGAATCGGGATGGCGTATCAGCCTGCGAGCAACGTCATGCAGATCCCCACGCCGAATGCGCAGGGATGGGCAACCCTACTGGCCTTGGAGCTTGGATCAAACGGGAACGAGAGCGGAG